TATGCTGGAGAACCAGAGCATTTTGTTGAAGCAATGCAGGTGATAAGCTCTGATAAGTGGAAGCTAGCCATGAAAGAAGAGATGAATTCTCTTCAAAAGAATAAAACATGGATACTTACAGAGTTACCAAAAAGAAAAAAAAGCATTGCAAAACAATTGGGTGTACAGGGTCAAGGAAGAGCATGATCGTAAGAAGAGATACAAAGCACGATTAGTAGTAAAAGGCTTTCAGTAGAAGGAAGGGATTGACTACACCAAGATCTTCTCTCATGTAGTCAAATTAACTACTATCAGGTTGGTGTTAGGTATCGTAGCTGCAGAAAATTTTCATTTGGAGCAGCTAGATGTTAAAACTGCTTTCTTGCATGGTGACCTTGAAGAAGACATCTACATGAAGCAACCTGAAGGTTTTCAAGTTTCTGGTAAAGAAAACCTTATGTATAAGTTACAGAAGAGTTTGTATGGTTTGAAACAAGCACCCCGACAATGGTACAAGAAATTTGATGAATTCATGCATAATAAAGGTTTCACACGATGTGAGATGGACCATTGTTGTTATATCAAAAATCTTGATAACTCCTATATCATTTACTGTTGTACATTGATGATATGCTAATTGGAGGATCCAGCATAAATGAGATCAACAGAGTTAAGCAGCAACTGGCGGAGGAGTTTGAAATGAAGACTTAGGACCAACTAAGCAGATGCTTGGGATGAGGATTAGCAGAAACACGTCTGAAGGAACCTTAAAATTGTCTAAAGAAAGGTACATACAGTAGGTACTAAGCAGGTTCAGTCTTCATGATGCAAAGACTAGAAGCACTCTACTTGGAAGCCATCTTAATCTGTCGGAGGACCAATCACCTAAGACAGATGAAGAAAGGAAGTACATGTCCAAAGTTTCATATGCTTCAGCAGTAGGAAGTTTGATGTATGCTATGGTTTGTACTAGACCTGACATAGCCCATGCAGTTGGAGTTGTCAGTAGATACATGTCAAATCCAGGAAAGGAGCATTGGGAAGGTGTAAAATGAATACTGCGATATCTCAAAGGCACCTCAGGTATAGTACTTTGTTTTAAAATGAGCAATATTATCTTACAAGGTTTTGCCGATGCAAATTTAGGCGGCGATCTGGATAGTCGAAAAAGTACCACAGGATACGTGTTCACCTTGGGTGGTATTGTTATTAGCTGGATGTCCAGACTTCAGATAAGTGTTGCTCTATCTACCACTGAAGTAGAATACATGGCTATCTCAGAAGCTGGAAAAGAGATGATTTGGCTCAAGAATTTTCTTAAAGAGCTAGGTAAAGAGCAAGACAATTGTGAGCTTTTCAGTGATAGCTAGAGTGCAATTCATCTTGTCAAGAATCTAGTGTTTCAAGATATCCAGTTGAGGTATCATCATATCCGAGAGTTGATAAGTGAAGAAACTCTTTCCCGGCAGAAGATACCAGGATCAAAGAACCCGTCAGACTTGTTAACCAAAGTTGTCGGTGTTGACAAACTGAGGTTGTGCACTGCCTCAGTTAGCCTTCAAGACTGATAGTGTGAAGGCGCCACCACAGAATAGCAAATCTTTTTTTTAAAATTTCTTTCTTGATGTAACATAGGTTTGAGGGGGAGATTGATAGTAACAACCCTATTGTTATATGTGAAAGAAAGAAAAGTAGACAAAACAAAACAAAGAAAAATTAAAAAGAGATGAACTTATGATGTAAACGCTTACATCGACATTCTTATGATGTATGCGTTTATATCGGCATACCTATGATGTAAGCGCTTACCTCGGCAGGACATTCAAATGCCTATAAAAGGGGTATGCATTTTCATTTGCAAATCATCCTTCAACTTCTTCTTTCTCTCTTCAATTAATAAAGAGCTATTATTTATGTGGTCTGGAGTAGGCAAAATTGCCGAACCACGTAAATCTTGTCTTATCATGTCTCGTGCAATTTATTGCTTTTCTCTTTTAAATATTTTTCCCTTCTAATAGCCTGACACGTCCGACACGTTTTCCAACAGCTTGTCACAAGACTAGTGATTTCAACTTATGTGCGACATCTCTTATATCTGTTCCGCATAGTAGCATTGCCAACTTGAAAGGTTTGACGCGTATTATGATTCAATTGGCCTTGGCCAAGGCAAAACAATTAAACAAATCTCAGCTCAAGTCAAGGTACTTTTAGACCAATCTAAAGATCGAGATTTCAAGCAATGTCTTCTGATTTGCCTTGAGGAATTTGGCTATGCTATTGACCCTAGGCTTCCTGATGCTATTAAATATTTGAATTCAAACGACTATTGGAATGTCGACACCAACCTAGTGGGTGCTGGTAATAGTGCAGAAACTTGCGAAGAGTCATTTACTGAACCGCCAGGCTTCATGTCACCATTAGAAGAGGTCGATAAGAATTTTGATCATTTTATTGAAGTAACAAGAGATTTATTGAGTCAGCTTAAAGAAAAATAAAGTTGTTCAACTGCTGATTACAAACGAATAATTCATCATTGAAGCAACAGAATCAATCACCATTTTTTAAAAATCTTTAGCAATTGTGTGGTTGTTAGTTTGTCTTAAAAGCTTAATGATCATAATGCTACAGGTTAAAGTAGTTTCCGGGAAGTCTCCAAACGTGTGAAGCACCCCACTTTTGCTCTTTATGTTGTGTTATGGTCCAACTCTTGCCAAATAAGTAAGTTCCCATGTTCCTACGCCCATCTAGTTGATCGAGGGATAGACGAGTATAAAGAAGGGATGGAGAAAGCTAGCGTTTACCTATAAATTCTCAAATTTATTTTGAAAATTTTAATTTGGGTAAAGTTTGGTTTGAAGATGAAAATATGTCTGGACATAATTTTTCGAAACATATTTCACTTTTTTTTTTTGAAAAAACATGAAATGTAACTTATACCCATAAGTTTTAAAAACTATCAAAAATACCTAACAATATCAAACAAACAAACTTGTTAATCTTGCATCTTCATTGATGCCATTCATTATCATTATCAATACAATAATAAATATAAGTAATTTAATAAGATTACAAGTAAATTATTTACATAATTAGGTCCTTATTTCCAAAGCATGTAAAAGCAAAGCATTATGATAACGCATATGGAAGGGAGCGTGGTGAGACTCTTTTGTAACGGCAAAGCCGTGGCCTTCTCTTTTCACAAGTGTCAGTGTGTCACCAATATTTTTAAAAACATTTTTAGGGCGAGGCATGCTAAAAATATATCAAGGTTAAGTGGTTAACTAGTCAACTTTCTAGACGGTTATTTGTAGCGTAAGCCGAGAGAACTCTTCCTATTTAAAACCAACATTTCTAAACCATTGTTTCCTGTAGTGGCCTCATTATACAACAAGAAAGCAGTGCTATGGTTCTTAAATGCTCTTTCACATCCCAAAATTTCGTTGTCGGTCATTTTCCATAGCAGGCTCTGATCATGGGATTAGCTGTTATTGCAATTTTTCTAAACCATGAAATAGAGCAATCTTCAATTCATAGATCGAATTGAAGGTCGAGTTTTTTTAATTTCTATTCCTATTATCCACCCATGACGCTATCATTTCTCTCACACTGATTGCTAGAAATAATATCTTAAAAAAATTCGAATCAGATGAATACTGCGTAATATATTTTTTTTTTTTTTCTTGGACTTAAGTCATGCTATATCTTTAACTTTGTCGGGTCAATTGCTTAGATCTCAAATCTATATTAAACGTACTTAACAAACAATCCTCTTATGATAAAAAGTGATAGTGTTACATGTTCTGATCAAAATACCCTCTCTTCACAGTAATTTTTATAGTATCATTTTGCCTAATCCTTGTTAAAAAAGCAAACATAAATAGAAAAACAAACTGCACAAAACATGCAAAGATCCATTCCTTTACTATTCATAGGTTCCAATTTTTTTAGTCTTGGCGTAACTGGTAAAGTTGTTGCCATGTGACCAGGAGGTCACGGGTTCGAGCCGTGGAAACAGCCTCTTGCACAACTGCAGGGTAAGGCTGCATACAATAGACTCTTGTGGTCCGACCCTTCCCCAGACCCCGCGCATAGCGGGAGCTTAGTGTACCAGACTGCCCTTTTTTTGTTTGTTTGAAAATGGGTCAATTGATTTGTTGCGGCCCCTAACTAGAGGGGAGATTATCTTTGCTAAACTAAAAGAGAGGCCCAAGTAATTCACCCTACTTCATATAGCTGCTCTCAACCAGCTTGGAATTGATAGCTTGATATTGATGCATAGTTATCGTTGTTGTTGTTAAAAACACACACACACACACACACACACACACACACACACAAAAAAAAAAAAAAAAAGAAGAGAGCTAAGCAAGAATGATCATACAACTAGGAATGGAAAATCAAGGTAGCAACTTTCTTCTCTTTTTCACATCTGACTTCATCTGTAATACAGTATTCGCCAAATCTTGTTTTCCTTCTCTGTTGAGCCCATAGAAGACGGTTCTAAAATTAACTGTACTAGGAACAATCCCAGTATCCAGCATTCCAGAGATAAGTTGGAGAGCTTCTTCAGACTTACCAACTCTACATAGACAAGAGATGAACATGGAGTATGCCTTGAAATCAGGAGATGGTCCATTCTTTTTCATCTGATGAAACACACTCCAAGCATTAGAAACCTTTCCCATGTTCATGTACCCTCGTATTAACGCTGAATACGTAACAATTGTTGGTTGGCAGCCTAAATCTTTCATTTCCTCAAAAATTTCAAGAGCCTTTCCTATCTGTTTCTCCTTAAAGAAGTAAACAATCAAGGAAGTATATACATGAACAGTAGGATGAATACCGACCTGCTTCATAGATTCTATTCTAGCCAATGCCTCTTCTAACTGCCCTTTTTGTAGTAATCCATGAACTAAACTTCCATAAACATACTGATTCAAGACATGCTGCTCGTCATCAACTTCGTTAACCAATGCTAAAGCCTCTTCCAGCCTCCTTGCTCGACAAAGTGCCCTAATGTACAATGAATAAGTTAAAGGGTTACTGAAACCGAGTTTTTGTAAAGATTCAGTACAGCTTCTGGCATCCCTTAATTTACCAAGCTCACATAAACAACCGAGATAAGCTTCAATTAGTTCTTTATCAGGAGTGCATCCAACTTGAATCATCTCCTGGAATATTTTTACTGCTTCATCAATTCTCCTACCTTTTTTCTGACAAAGAGATGGGATCAAAGCTTTGTATGTACTTTCTGTGGGTTTACAACCGCTATCTTTCATTTCTTTAAAGGTACGAACAGCAATATCTGTGAGTCCGGATCGGCCATACTGCATTATCATGATTGTCCAGGTATGAGCTGTTACTAAGCAACCGTTTCTCCTCATATCAGAAAATAGATTTCTCATCTGATTGAAGTCCTTGCCCTGTCCTGCTATTTTAATGGCCATATTGTAGAATTCCGTTGTATGCCTATAATTAGTTTGCTTCGCAACCCAAGAAAAAAATTGCAATGCCACACAACCTTGCAGCCTGAAATTACGCAAAACTTCCACAACAATTTCTGGGGTGAAATGTATGTTGTATTTTTTCAATTGTTCATGTATTAAGCACCAATCTGTTGATGATAACAAAATTTGGCAAATCTCATGTATATCACATTCGCTACAGGATTTTGAAGCTGCCTCTGGCATGTCAAGAGCTGAGGACACCCGTTCTAGGTTTTCTGATTTTAATTCCAAATTTCGACCTTGCTGACTGCTCACATCCAATTCGGGTGTTTCATTTTCTTGGTGAACTTTAGAAACACCCTGTAGCAGCTTGATTCTGTTGATGTTCTTCATATCTCCTTTTCTCTCCAGATATGAAATAACATGCTGGAGGATATTGTTCCCAATAACCATCTTGGAGGCCTTCATTTCATTCAGAACCTTGAAAATATCATTCGTCCTTGACACTTTGGAAAGTTCCTTGATAAAAATGGTGTATGATTTCCGGCTAAAGTCAATTCCTTTATCCTTCATATTCTCAAACACTTTCCATGCTTCAGAAATGCAGTTTTGGCTGATATAACCTGCAATTACCGCAGTTGCTGCAACAGAATCCAATTCAACTCCTATCTCTGTCATCTCGCTATAGAGGTTCAACGCTTCCTGAAACTCATTAACCCTGAAAAGGTGCTGCATCAGATTAGTATAGGTAGATACTGTGGGCAAACTTCCTGAATCTTTCATGCTCTGGAATAGATTAAGTGCCTTTGAAATTTCATTTTTCCTCAAATATGCACTTATAAGCACTGCATAAAGCTTCTCATCAGCACCATTTCTTTTCTCTACAATTTCAACAATCTCCAATGCATCACTGATCCTCTCAGCCCTACACAGTCCTTTCACCAATGTCACAAAAAATTCAGAATCAAGCTTCACATTTTTATTCTTTAAATCACGAATCAATTCCAAAGCTTCTGTAATCCTCCCTGCAATGCAGAAACTCTTCAGCATAAGGCCATACACATGGTTTTCTGAAATACTAAAAACCCATATCATGTCGTCGCCAACTTTGTGAACTGCAGCAATATTTCCAGAGTTAGCCAAGCATTTGAGCAGCTGTCCAGACATAGCTGCATCCAACATCAAGCCTTTGTTGATCATCTCATTGTAGTACTCCAAAGCAATGTCTGCTTTTCCAGCATTACAAAGCGAACTCAACAAGGTCTTATAAGCCCTTAAATCAGGCTCATAACCAAATTTCTTCAACTGTTCAAACGTGAACAATGCTTTGCCAATCAACTTTGCATTCCCAAAATGGGAGAGCAGAATACTCCACGTCTTAAGATTCTTCTGACAAGAACTCCTCCCCATTTCCTCCACCAATTCGTCAACCAAGCGAAACTTCTTAGTTTCTGCGGCCATGTAAATCATTGTGTTATAAGTCGCTGTAGTATGACTAAATCCTTTTCTTGATTTCACCCAATTGAAAAACCTCAAAGCTAAATGAGGAACTTTGAAACACCTCTTCAAAACCTTGTCAACAACCTCCTCATTATACTCAAAACCTGCTTTTTCCAGTTGTTCCTCCATTGAAATCACATCATTTTCACTCCTCACAATCTCTGTAATCTTGTGAACAATGGGACTAACATCCCTTTTCACCAAACTTTCTATCCGAGTATCTTTAGGTAAATTTCTCATTTCCAGCTCTGTACTAGGCTTGGCATTTTCACAAACACTTCCCGTGTAAGATGATGAATCCACGACTAGTATTTCAGGCCCATATGGGTTTTCATCTGCAGTTACTACAGTCTCTATTCCTAAAATCTCTCTGATCTCATTGAAGAGTGAACTGAAATTCTGGGGTTCAATCTGGTTTTTCAAACTGGGGTTTTCAGTTTTCTTGGATTTCTGATGCTTAGATGACTTGGTGGAAATTGAAGCAGAGGAAGTCTTAAATCTTGAGGAATCAAGATTCAACAGTTTGTTTCCACAAATTAGGGACCTTTGTTTGCGTATGTACTTCAAAATCATTCTCGTTTGAAACATTGCTTCATAGTAGTAGCTCCAGGGATATTGTTGTGGTGATTTTTTTTAAATATAGAGGCTCTTTTTTCTTGAACCATAGTTGTGACTTGCGTCACATGGTGGTCTCTTTCTGTGTTTTTAAAGGTAAAATAAGTAGGCATAACAAGCAATGGGACAACGGGATTCTATTTCAATCTTATTATGGATCGATTTTATGTGACAATATTCAAACATTTAAATATATATTCAAAATTATTATTGCATATGTATTAATCAAGCTTATGTGACAATACCATAAACATAAACGGAAAAGGGTCAACAATACCCCTAACGTATTGAAAATGGATCAAAAATATTTTCAATTAATCTTTTGGTTCCCAAATGACCATAACGTTTGTTTTTGGGCTCAAATTTACCCCTATATCTAACAGAAGGGGTAACAATATCCCTAACGTATTGAAAATGGTTCAAAAATACCATTTGTTAACCTTTTAGTCCGCAAATGCCCCTAACATTTATTTTTTGGCTCAAACTTACTCATATATCTAACAGAACTAACCTAATCAATTTTTTGACTTTAACTTCGCCATGTGGCATTTTCTTAACCCGCCACGTATATTATTTGTATTAAATAAAACCCACCTGTATCTTTTAAAATATCCAACGACCCTGACCCGCTCCTATATATTTGGACGGTCGGCTAAAAATAATTATATTCACTAGCTAAATATATTAAAAAAAAAATAAGCATTGATTATATATAAAAATATGCATTATTATACATTAATATTTTAATATATATTTACATCATATTATTTTTAGGAGAAATTATACAGTGTAGTTTTTTCTATTAATTATGATCTATAACTCGAATTTATTAAGCAAATCTGACAATGGAATGACAGTTTTTGCTAATATTTTAGCTCTATCGTTATATATTAAAACACTATTAGTTTTTATTGAAAAGATCATGTGAAGTCCATTAATGTGCTAAGCAGTTGGATATGTATATAATTAAAGGTTTTAAATAATTTTCTTTTCATCTGTTTCTTTACTTCTCCTTTAGAATCATATAAATAGAACATTATCATTTTTATGTTTGCAAATTAAAATTTATATTTGTTAAACTTGTTAAGATCTGCAAAATTTGAAGGAAAAACTACACCGTATAATTTTTCCTAAAAATAATATCATATAAAATATATATTAAAATATTAATGTATAATATACAAATTTTTATATACAATCAATGTCTATTTTTTATATATTTAACTAGCGAATGTAATTATTTTTAGCCGACCGTCCAAATATATAGGAGCGGGTCAGGGTCGTTGGGTATTTTAAAAGATACAGGTGGGTTTATTTAATACATATAATATACGTGGCGGATTAAGAAAATGCCACATGGCGAAGTTAAAGTCAAAAAATTGATCAGGTTAGTTCTATTAGATATAGGGGTACGTTTGAGCCCAAAAATAAATGTTATGGGCATTTGCGGACCAAAAGGTTAACGGATGATATTTTTGAGCCATTTTCAATACGTTAGGGGTATTGTTGGCCCTTATGTTATATATAGGGGTAAGTTTGAGCCCAAAAACAAACGTTAGGGGCATTTGTGAACCAAAAAGTTAATGGGATATTTTTAAGCCATTTTTAATATGTTACGGATATTTGTTGGCAATTTTCCGTAAACATAATTGAGTTAGACAAGTGCATGATAGTGACACATATAAGGAAAGTGAAACTAAAAAAGATACTGGATGTGCTTAGGAAAATATATTTCGTAAAAAATATTTTTTCATACCAAACATAACCATTATCTACAAACAATTTTAAAAAATTTAAAAGAAAAAAAATCTCTTTTTACCGTCACTTTAATCCATAAATAAACAATAAAGAATGACTCACACAGCTTATCAAGTCCAATTGCCAAAAAAAAAAAAAAAAAAAAAAAAAAAAAAAAAAAAAAAAAGAAGAAGAAGAAGAAGCTCACGATACATCACATTGCTACCGGAGTTGGTACGACATTCCCTTTTGCAGAAGATTTTGCAGAAGTAAGAAAAGTTACAACTATATGGAGTAATAATTTTTTTTTTCCATAAATAAAATAAAAGCTAAAAATCTTGCTCCCCAAAACCCTGCGATTCATCCAATGGCCTTGCACCAAAGGCAATGAGCTACTGACAACAGTCATGCAATGAAGCAATTTTTGCTTTCTTTATCCACCATTTTATCATACACTTCTTTCATTAGTTTATGTTTCATATTGTATCATATATACCAATCACTTGACCATACTTCCATTATCTGATTTTCTTATTAAAAGTAGGGAAGGTTAAAATATATAAAGTTAAGAAAGAGTAGAAAAATAGTTTGACATGAGCATATCATGTCCAAACTGAGAAAATTAGTTCATTCTCTCTTTCCAATCTATCAATTTTGGAGATGTGAAAAATGAGCAGAGCTCGAGATAAGCTCCAATGGTGGTGAAGGAGACTTTGAGGAGAAGCCGCAATCTGAGATCATGAGAGAACACAGAAGAAATAAATTTGGAAATGAAAGTCTCAATTGTACATATTTACTCAGTAATGTCGTATATATACAACTGCAATAGGAAAATGAATGAAACCAACTAACTAACAAACTAACAAAACTAACCGACTAACAGACTAACTAAATAGTGCAACTAGCTAATGCTAAAGGTACAAATAATATAAACTAACTAGAAGACTATAATCATATATCTCAATAACCCCCTCCTCCCCTCAAGTTGAAGTGAGGGAGTCACTGAACTTGTCAAGAATGTTGGAATGTTTAATGCGTGTGGGAGCCTTAGTGAGAATGCCTGCAAGTTGTTGAGTGGTCCCAATGTGATGTAAAGAGATGAGGCCCTCTTGAAGCTTGTTTCTAACAAAGTGACAGTCGACTTCAATGTGTTTGATTCTTTCGTGAAACACTGGATTCCTTGCTATATGGAGTGCTGACTGACTGTCAAAAAATACTGCAATGGGACTGTTAGCTCCTCAAGCAGCCTTTGTAACCATACTAATTCCCAACCACTTTCCTTAGGGATCTATATTTTGCTTCTGTTGATGACAAGGAAATGGTTTCCTGCTTCTTTGACTTCCAATTAATGGGGTTGTTCCCCAGCAAAACAATGTAGCCAGTAACTGACTTCCTAGAATTTGGACAAGATGCCCAGTCAGAGTCACAGTATGCTCTCACTATATAGTCACCATCTTTGGAGAAGAAAATTCCCAGGCTAGGATCAGTCTTTAAGTATCTCAACAAGTAAAAAGCTGCCTTTAAGTGTGGTTCCCTTGGGCCTTGCATAAATTGGCTCAAATATTGGACACTAAATGCTATATTTGGCCTTGTGTTGGTGAGGAAATTCAATTTTCCACTCAGTTTTCTATAGTAGTAGGGGTTTGATAGAGGAGCACCTTCCTTTGATTTGAGTTTCACATTTGGATCAAGAGGTGAAGACAAAGAGCTACAGCTGAGACGGTCATACTCTTTCAGCAAATCAATGGTAAACTTTCTCTGAGAGACATTGACTCCATCATCTTGTAGAGAATTTCCAATCCAAGAAAATAGTGTAATCTTCCTAGGTCCCTAATTTTCAAATTGTCATGTGGGAACCTCTTCAAAAGGTCTATTTCTTCTAGATCTGTCCCAGTGAGAATCACATCATCAACGTATACTTCCACATACACCAAAGATGTCTCATTTTTCTTATATGATAATGAATAATCATGCATATAATTCTCATAACCTCTAGAGCAGAGTGCCTCTATTAACTTGACATATCACTGCCTACTAGCTTGTTTTAGGCCATATAGGGATTTGTTTAGCTTACAAACAAGTCCTGGATTAGACACCATAAGCCCAGGTGAGACTTCCATAAACACTTCCTCATTCAAATCCCCATGGAGGAAGGCATGGTTGACATCCAATTGAAGCAGGTCCCACCCTCTTTTCACAGCTACTACTTCACAGTAATTATCTTTACTACAGGTGAGAATGTCTCTATGTAATCTATTCCTTCTTGTTGTGTGTATCCTTTCACCACTAAACGAGCTTTAACCTTTTAATACTTCCATTAGATCTATGTATTACCTTGTACACCCATTTACAACTAATGGCTTTCTTCCCTGTTGTTAATGGGACTAAGTCACATGTGTGATTGGCATGTAGAGCCTCAAATTCCTGTGTCATAGTTGCTTTCCAAGTAGGATTAATAGCAGCTTCTTCATATAAAGAAGATTCACTATCATGACAGACATTTTTCATCAAAGATTGACTATCATGGATTAAAACTCCACGAGAAACACACTGATGTTTAGAAGTTAATGCATTCAGAGATGGTATGCAGCTATTGGATTGCAGTTTGGGTACATATGAATGTAATCACTTAGGTGTGTAGGTGTTTTAATTTCTCTTTGGGTTCTTCTAAGTGTAGGGATGTTGTGAGTTTGAGGTGAGTGGTCAATGAAGTCTGGTAGTGAATGATTATTGATTGTAGATGTTGGAGGTGAATGATCATTATAGCTTATGACCGGACTACCACTAGGTGACATAAGTGAGGTAGTTACAGGTGACGGTTCATTGTCTATGGGACTTGCACCATCTAGATTGTTTCACTGCTTATTAATTCTAGTTGTGTCAGATTGATTTAGAAGACGTAAAAACTTCACCATTTGTTAATTATGGCTCTATCGTGACACTACAACAGTTCATATGATTGCTCACAGAGCAATAGGGGTGGCAAATATGAATCTTTTGAAGAAATATATTTGGAATATGGCATTATTCACCAAATGACTGCCCCTTAGTCACCGCAATTTAATGAAATTGCGGAAAGAAAGAAAAGAACGCTAAAAGAGATAATGAATACCTTGTTGATAAGTTCTGATTTATCCCAGAACTTGTGGGGGAAAGCTATTCTTACAGCTAACCAAATACTAAATCGAGTTTCCCATAGCAAAATGCAATCCATTGCATATGAAAACTAGAAAGGAAGGAAGCCCAACTTAAAATATTTTAAAGTATGGAAGTGCTTAGCTAAAGTGCAGGTTCCCAAACCCAAAAGGATAAAGATCGAACCGAAAATCAGTGATTGTATTTTCATAGGATATGCAACAAATAGTAAGGCATATCACTTTCTGGCTGATAATCAGAAAGTCGGACATTCATATTAATACCGTAATCAAATCAGATAATGCTGAATTTTTGAAAATATTTATCCGTATAAAAAGGAGTGTGAGTCGTCTAGTGAAAAAATCTAAGCGACCTCGGAAAGAAACAGAGAAAAGTATATTTAATGAGGAAATCCAAGATGTAGTAAACGTCAAAGGATAACTACTTCCTTTGGACCAGATTTTCTGACATTCTTATTAGAAAATGAGCCTCGAACGTTTAAAGAAGCAATGTCTTCATCGGAAGCACAATATTGAAAAGAGGCAGTCAATAATGAGATAGAATCCATATTACGTAATCATATGAGGAAATTAGTTGATCTTCCTCCAGGAAATAAACCTTTGGGTTTTAAGTGGATTTTAAAAAGGAAAATGAAAGTTGATGGTATTATTGACTTTATAAGGCAAGATTAGTTGTCTAAGGGCTTAGACAACAAGAAGGTCTTGATTACTTTGACACATACTCACCGGTAACTAGTCTTGGAATATGCTCGAGTATTGGAAAGTTTGATGTACATCATGAATTGTACAAGACCTGATATAACTTGTGCGATAAGTAAGCTTAACGATACACAAGTAATACCGACCAAGCTCATTAGATAGCAATGAAACGAGTTTTGGGGTATTTGAAATATACCCAAGATTATGCATTGCATTGCAATAATTATCTCGCGGTTATTGAGGGATATATTGATGCAAATTAGATCATCGAATCAATAGAAACAAAATCCACAAGTGGATACACTTTTACCATTGGTGGAGGAGCAGTGTCTTGGAAGTCGTCCAAACAGACATGCATCGCCCGCTCTACAATGGAGTCTGAGCTTATAGCTTTAGACAAGGCCGATGAAGAAGTTGAATGGCTCCAAAACGTTTTGGAAGATATTCCTTTTTGGCTCAAACCTTCGGCACCTATATGCATACATTGCGATAGTCAAGCGGTTATAAGAAGGGATGGAAGCCTTATGTATAACGAAAAATCTCGTCACATACGACGAAGATATAATACCATTAGACAACTACTCTATAGCAGAATTATCACAATTGACTATCTAAAGTCAAAGGATAATGTATCGGATCCACTTACAAAAGGCCTAACTAGACAGGTAGTTGAGAGATCATCGAAGAGAATGAGACTATAGCCGAGGACAGGTTAGTGTGGCGGTAACTCTACCTAGAAGATGGGAGATCCCAAGATCTAGGTTCAAGAAGATCAAGCAAAGTCATTAATGGCGGTTCAACATTGTCAAATAAAATTTTGATTCGTTCTCGTGATGAAAATAATGTTCAGTAACAAGGATAAAGTATTAAAAATTTTTAATGATTTTTAAGTTTGATACGAAGTATATCAAATAGTGATTCTACAGGATAACACGTTTAGGAATCACCTATGTAAGTGTGAAGTATAAGCCGCTTCAAGGAGAATTCTGTAAGGTCAGTTCTCTACGCACTTATGAACCAGGCGGTGTTCATGGCTGAAACGAACACAACAATGAGAACCAAAGACAGTTAAAGGGCTGATTGTATGACTTATGGTTGTATAGGTATACACTAAAACTCGAGAGTTCAAAAATATCAAATCTACTGATTGACCGAGTATATCCGATATATGTTCACTGCGAAAAGTTAAAAGGGAAACCTACTTATCTAGATGCGATTAATACTTACTTGCGAATCACACAAATTTTTGCATATTTTTTAAACATATTGCCATTTCCCATTCATGTGGGGGATTGTTAGGTTTTTTAAGGGGGTGTGAATGGGAAATGGAAGAGGCACCTTTTGGGTTGCACCTCTTCATCTCAACCTTTCATTTTCTATAAATTTAGAGGCTTGGCCTCATTTTTTATACATGAAAAATCTGAAAACTTCTCCCCTTTTTTTCTACATTGTTGCATTGTTTTTTCAAAATAACATAAGTGTCAAGTATGATTTGCTTTGTTTGTTGAATTCGCTGAAGTTCTGTGATTTGTAATATCGCTATCACAGAATAGTTATTCCGTTCTATCCTGGGAGGAATTAATCCAAAATCTTAGGCAACAGTGAGGGGATTAAATTCTTTAGGGACACACAATCAACTTGTGGGCTCGGAATAATTTATATTTTATTTATTGAACAAACGTTTCTTTACTTCTCTGATTTTTTAGTTTCGAACACATTATTACTAACTATAATGCCGACCCCGCCTCCGAGAACAGACACTGTTGATGGAACCCCCAACTCCAAAACGGCTCACATAGCAACCCGAGAACTTCTAGGAGAAGCCGGAGCTGGATGCCTATGTATTACTTTAAGCGTTGAATGGCAAGATACTATCCTAACCTTGCAGAGGCAACTCAAGGAACAAAATAAAAAAATTGAATAAATTCCGGAATGCCATCAACCGTGAAAGGGATTCAAGATGCCCGACATTCCAAAATATGACGGCACCTGGGACCCTCGTGATCACATCATGGCGTATACAATCGGAATCAAAGGGATTGACCTCATAAAGGAAGAGAACGGATCAGTGCTCATCAAAACATTCGAGGAGACACTTACAGAAAGAGCTCTAACATGGTATTCTCATTTACACGAACATCTTATTAGTTCTTTTGATGAACTTGAAGATGCTTTCATCTAAGCCCATTCTAGAGAGAAATAGGTAAAAAAAACACGTGTAAGATATCTTCAAGATTATACAAATAAGGACAAAGTCACTACGAAACTTCATTGACCGATTCCAGAGGGAAAGAATGTTGCTCCCGGAAATTGAAGAGAATTAGGCCGCTATGGCATTCACCAGGAATTAGAATTCGAACAGTTCAGAGGCCTCGAGGAGACTGAAGGAAAGCCTTCGAGAATTCCCTGCGAAAACATGGAACAATTCAGAGGCCTCGAGAAGATTATTTCTCTCACACAGAAGAAAGGTTGCATGCATCAATACGATTTTCATTTCCTTTATTCAGTCAATTTATTTTCGTATTATTATTTGTTCTTTTTTTGTATCGATTATACTTGAAAAAGTGAATCAAATCGGTTGTTAGAAATCCAAATAATTTATTTAATTTCTTTGACTTCAAAAATAATTTTTTTTTATTAAACACAGACAAAATATCCTACTGTAACATCCTACCCTCAATATTCGACTCAAAATCACTAATTTGTATAAACTCGCTTACTTAATCCGACAAAGAACATCACCTATCCCTCGCAAATCATAGGACGTCACAATAAACAACAGATAGTAGTTCCACATACACAAAATTCACGACCAAATTGGGACTCTGAATAGAAAAAATTAACTCAACTCCCAGAAACAAATTCATGTACCCCACAAAATGTACCATAGGCTTGCTCTTGATGTAATATTTCACTAATTCGAACTTATTCAGTCTAAAGATCAAGCAAAACTTTATTTGATTGTAATGGTTTCGTTTTCACAGTATGTTTGCTCTCTTTCTCCCTCCCCTTCTGTTAGAGTCAAGTAGCAAGTTCGTTTCTCTTTTAACTTTGAAACTATAATTAGCTTTTAGTTTACTCAATTCAATGAATGAAACATAATCCAACAATTTGATATAGTCCTCTCTGGTCAATCATACTTGGTCAAACATTAATTACCTACTTTTCATTTTGCTATAATATTTGAATCAGCCTGGCGTGAAGGGAAAGAAACAAAAATTAACTTAAGTATATATTTAGACAATAATTACTGTTCCTAATTGTTTTAACATCTCATCAATGCACTAAACTAGTGTAACTTCCAAATGAAGAAGGGCTTCATGATGTCAGACTACATTATTCGTCAGGTATAAGGTGCAAGTTTTACAGCATAGGGCACAAATGATGAAATGCAATAATTTGCCAATCATATTATTAATGAAATAAAAATAAAGGTGAACCAGCCGAGTTGTTAAGATCATTGAAATGTGGGAAAAAATAATTTTGCAAAGATATCTCTAGCTATTAGAATAAATTAAAAAAAACTTGCTAGTCATATATTGATAGAAATATAAAAAGGAGGACTAATCATTTAATTTCAATTTCCTAGTTATGGTATAATTTGAGTATAGGGAAAATTGAGTAATCATAATATGAAAAATACCTTAAGAGAGAAGTGGTTCCTCGAAACCCTAAGGCAGAGGCCGGCAGCCGGCAGCCGGTAACAAGTTGCTTAGATCTACACAACTGGCATTAGTCAAGCAAATAATACAAACCAAACAAAATAATCCAAATTCCATCTCTGAGTGGCTCACCACTTCCTAAGACTTGTCATCTTATTTTTATCTTTTTTAGCAATAAAACCCTTAAAATAGTATCTTTTTATTCGGATAATTTTCTTGGACCCCTATGACTTTTTGACAATTTTAAGCACACCCTCCAAGTTTTGAGGATTAGTCTTTGAGCAGCTCAAAATTTTAGTTTAAGTGTATTAGGATGAGGATTTACTTATTTCCTTTGCACATTTGCATTTCTTCTGACCCATCAAACTACTGCACCTATTTCGTGCATCAAATATATGTAATCTCTCTCTCCCTCTCTCCCTCACTCCTCTCTCTTTATATGGGATATTATGATTACTCGGTACATATACAAAATATTCAAACTTGTTGCGCATTATCTACATTTTATTTGAAGTATTCTTGAATTTTTTTTTTTTTTTTTTTTGCTTTAATTATGAGTTCTATTAATTCAATTGAACATTTTGTCAAAGTTTATGCAATCTAAAAAGGAAACTGATGTTCTAGATGCATGCCAAGGTAGGTGCACTAAGTGACTAGATGTTGGAACTTTATCAGTAGTATAATATAATTTTTCATTT